TGCAGAAAAAAGCCAGAAGTGGCGCTGTGGCTCAAGTGGTAGAGTGCTAGCCTTGAGCTGAAGAGCTGAGGGACAGCGCCCAGGCCTAGAGTTCGGGCCCCACAATTGACCAATTAAAAAAAAAAAAAAGGTTCAAAATTTAAAAAAAAATTCATGTGAGCCGGATGGCGGTGGCTCACGCCTATAATCCTAGCTACTCAGGAGGTTGAGATCTGAGGATGTTGGTTCAAAGCCAGCACAGGCAGGAATATGTGTGAGACTCTTACCTCCAATAAACCACTAGAAAACCGGAAGTGGCGCTGTGGCTCAAGCAGTAGAGCGCTCGTCTTGAGCTGAAGAGCACAGGGACAGCGCCCAGGCCCAGAGTTCAAACCTCACGATGGACAAAAAAAAAAAAAAAATTATGTGAAAAATTGGGATGCTTGATATTCTCACTATAGATGTTTTATAATTGTATATTATTCTGCATTACATTTCTGCACTTCCTTGGTGTATGTTTTTCCATTACAAGATACCTCCATTTGTTCTATTAATATTCTTTTTCCAAACTGTCAGGTTTAGTAACCTTTTCTTCTTTTTTGTTTGTACTGGTTTTTCACCTCAGTGTACCCCCACTGTGATATACTAAAATACAAATGAGAAGATCAGTGTTGCTGGTACCAAGTACCATTTTAAAAAATCACAAATGCACCAACCTATAAGTTAATGAAATAACTCATTTGAGGAAATAAATTTTTCCTTAAATCTAAATTATGAGGACTATTTCATAAATCAGCATGAAAATACATCAGAAAATAACAAAATGAGTATGATAATATGGGATTTATCTATAAAATATCACTAATATGCTAATAGAAAACTACATCATCATCCTCCATCTTCCTTTGTAAAGAATTTTTTTGTTGGAGCCGGGCGCTGGTGGCTCACGCCTGTAATCCTAGCTACTCAGGAGGCTGAGATCTGAGGATCGCGGTTCAGAGCCAGGCCGGGCAGGAGAGACCGTGAGACTCCTATCTCCAATAAACCACCAGAAAACCGGAAGTGGCGCTGTGGCTCAAGTGGTAGAGCGCTCGCCTTGAGCTGAAGAGCTGAGGGACAGCGCCCAGGCCCAGAGTTCAAGCTCTACGACCGACCAAAAAAAAAAAAAAAGAATTTTTTTTTGTTGTTGTTGTTGGTCATGGGGCCTGAACTCTGGGCTTGGGTGTTGTCCCTCAGCTCTTCAGCTCAAGGCTAGCGCTCTACCACTTGAGCCACAGAGCCACTTCTGGTTTTTTCTGCTTATGTGGTGCTGAGGAATCAAACCCAGGGCCTCATGCATGCGAGGCAAACACTCTACCACTGAGCCACCTTCCCAGCCCCAATTTATTCTTTGTAATAACCATAACATGGGCCCCTTTCCTGGCAACCAATGGACTATTAGATGTTCCTAGAATCGTCTGGGCCTTTTCCCAGCAGCCTCCACACTATCCGGCCTGCAGTTAACCTTTCTCGTCATCCATTATATCAAAGCCTGAGAGAATGCCACCCAGCTGCCTACTCTAGGTGGTGGCTGCCCTGTCTTTAGATAGTCATCTCAAACTCATCATTTGCATCAGTCTGGAGAAGAAAGGGATGTAGTGCTCGTTGCCCAAGCCTGCAAGCTGTTGGTGATGCTGGATATCAGGCATCAGCAGCATGATATGCTCTGTGGTGGACTGTTCTATTGGGCAAGGCACCACAGCCTCTACTTGGGCAGGTTTCACAATGTCTTTAAGTTGCACTTCCTCAAAACTTTTCTGCTACTCCCTAAATTCAATCTTCACAGGGCCTGACAAGTTTGAAGTGGCATTGGCAGCAAGGGTCTCGGTGTCTGCAGGCTTCTTGCCCTGACACTTTGCAAGGTTCAAGAGCAGCTCCTGCAGCTCTTCCTTCTTATCCCTCTTCTCCTGGGACAGCTGGTTGACACATTCATCTTTCTCCTTATACAGCTCATCCAGGACGGCCATCTGTTCTTTATAGAGAACTATGGACTCTTCAGTGGTGCTGATGTGTTCTGACAGCTGCCTGCATCGATGTTGGAAGTCATCCACCTGACTCTGGAAGTTCATCAGGCAGGTTGTGGGAGGAAGCAGATTTTCAGCTTATTCTTGGGTACCTGTGTGTCCTGCCATGGTTCCAGCTCTTGGGGAAGAGGGCCTGTTGCTCCAGCTTTGTCTGGCACTGGGCTGCCAGGTTGGCCAGGCATCTGCATTGGGCCTGCTGCTCCTGCAGCTGCTTGCTGAGTTTTATCTTTTTTGATTCAGCAACTAATAGTGCTTTAAGGTAAGAATCCCTCATGGTTTGTGGGTTGGCTACATTCTCTGGGGTAGTCATGTCAGGTGGAGTTGCCTCCTCACCTTTTTCTTCTTCATGGCTCACTCTTTCACTTTCCCTAGGGGAAGCCAGGACGCTCTTCTGGGCCTGCAGTTGCTCCATCTGTTGTCTAGTTGTTTCCAGGCACTTCAGAGTGTCCTATAACTTTTGAGACACCATCTGGTCCTCCAACTTGATTTGCACTTGCTTCAGCCGCTCCAGCAGCTGGGTCTGCCTCCTAGGTGCTGCTTCAGGGTCTCCTTCTCTGAGTTCGGCTGCTGATTGGAGGCCATGTGCTGATCACAGGTGGCTCTGAGCTCCTGCAGCTGGGCCAGGTACTGGTCATGAAGCTCCTGCAGATCCTGAGCCAGTTGGCTCTCTATCTCAGCCATGTCTTTCCACTCTTCTAACTTCTCTTGCTGTTCCAGCTTCTCCTGAAGATGTTTCTTCATCTGCTGCTCTGAGTTCAGGATGCTGGTGAGCTTCTCCTTCTCACCACTCACCCTGTGGAAAGCATCCTGCAGCTGGCCCAGCTGATTTTTCAGCTCTGTAAGATGCACCTGAGTGCATCTTATGGTCTCATGTTCCTTTTTCATTGTCTTGAGGATCTTCCGCAGATTCTCAGCATGCTGATCCTGTTCCTTGGCCTTCTTCTCCAGTCTCCACAGCTGCTCCTACTGCTCCAGGTTCTGGAGACTGAGGCTCTAGTTTTCCTGTACCTGGATGTGAAGTTGTTGCTCCAGGTTCTTTAATTCCTGCATCTGGTAGGTCTGAGCCTGTAGCTGCTGCTCAGCCTGAGATGATCCTGCAGCTTCTTTTGTTCAAGGATAGCACTACCACTTGAGCCACAGCTCTACTTCCAGCTCTTTTGAGAATTTATTGAAGAGTCTCATGGGCTTTTCTGTCTGGGCTGGCTCTGAACTGTAATCATCAAATCTTAGCCTTCTGAATAGCTAGAATTACAGGCAGGAGCCACTGGCACCTGGCTCAGTCATTTCTTTAAGGAGCACTGGCTCCTTTGCTTGAGTAGGGCATTAGGTGTTTTTTGGTTTTTTTTGTAAAGTTTTTTATAATAAAAGAATTCAACAGTGCAAATATCCATTCTGTTTTTTTTTTTTTTTTTGGGTCCGGTTGTGGGGCCTGAACTCTGGGCCTGGACGCTGTCCCTCAGCTCTTCAGCTCAAGGCTAGCGCTCTACCACTTGAGCCACAGTGCCACTTCCGGCTTTTTTCTTTTTGCTTACATGGTGCTGAGGAATCGAACCCAGGGCCTCAGGCTTGCAAGGCAAGCGCTCTACCACTGAGCCAACTTCCCAGCCCCAAATATCCATTCTTTCATAGGTTTACACCATATAAGTTAAAATCAATCAGAAAATGTTCAATATGGGATCTACACAATATAACAAATAATACAGGACCTAATAAATCTATATTTCACTATTTTCAGAATCTAAGCTTTTACTGTATTACGTATCCAAGCATCTCTGTAAGTCAAGCTATTAAGCTTTATAGCTAATATTTTCTAAAGAACACCACTTTAAAAGAACTTATATTTTGAAGCTGACACAAACTGGTAGTCTCTCCTGAACCATGTGCAGAAAACTCATTGTATTATCCCCTAAGGTAATAGGCACTCCCCAAATGGAACAATACACATTCACCCAAGTACAATGTTATCTTTCCCCATCCAAAAATTATGCAATGAAATAAGACCTGTCAACCACAGCTGACTTAGTTTCAGGAAAACAGCATTAGAGAATTGTAACTACGTTACTTTCCTAGTCTCACCTTCAGTCATTAGCAGGTGTTTTGTAGGCCACCATGCTATTCACTTTATGGATGGTGGTAGTAAAGGAACTGAGACGGACTTCCTCAGAATTTGTAATGAACTGCGGACCTGACTCCTCCCACTTTTCAGGTACAACCAAATCTTTGTATGTATAAATCAGCAAATCAAATGAGCAAGCAACTTCTAAGAGGGGCAGGAATGTCACTGTTGCTGTGATCTGTCTGATCACTGAACGGATTTCATCTTGGATAGCTTTCTGAGACTTTTCTCTGGGAGCACTGTCGTCTTTTGCAGTCTTGTCACACTCAATATCAAACTGCCATCTTTCAAGGACCTCACCACTTTCAATATTTGAGATGACCACCACCAGTCTCTGGACAGAACACTTGTACAACCAATCTTTCAGGTGTTCTACCACACTGTTAAGATACTTTATGAGCTCAGGATCAGTAGTTATAATCAAGGTGAGTCCATATTTCTGCACTCGAGTGAAGGTTTCATATGGATATATGCCACGCTGATATAAAATGCTGTTGATGCCAAAGGAGAAGAACTCGGCCACGATTTCCGCACTCCCACGCAGGGTGATGCCTTGCTCCTGGGAGAACTGCAGTGCCATGGTGAGGTCCCTGCCAACAGAGACCCCGGCACACTGGCACTCCGCTGGTCACGACCACAGCGGGCACCCGGCACTTGCCCGCCACTGCCATTAGGTTTTTTTTTTTTTTGGTTGGTCATGGGGCTTGAACTCTGGGCCTGGGCGCTGTCCCTCAGCTCTTCAGCTCAAGGCGAGCGCTCTACCACTTGATCTACAGCGCCACTTCCGGTTTTCTGGTGGTTTATTGGAGATAGGAGTCTCACAGTCTCTCCTGCCCAGCCTGGCTTTGAACCACGATCCTCAGATCTCAGCCTCCTGAGTAGCTAGGATTACAGGCGTGAGCCACCAGCACCCGGCTTAGGTATTTTTATGGCTACTGGCCTGGCATTTCTGAATCCCTTCAAGGGACAAAAGTGGATCGTGTGTTTGTGTGTGTGTGTGTGTGCGTGCGTGTGTATATGCATATACTAATGCATGTTTGTTGGGCAACCCTGAATTCTCACTACAGATATCCCTCCATCCTTCCCTCTTGTTTTCCCCTAACTTCCCTGTCTAAAAGAGCCTGGCTTCGGTCAGCTGTTGGTACTTACTTCCTGTGTAACCTTGATGTCTACCCTACATTTCCAGAGTTGCTAACCGGTTCCCCTGGACTGTAAGTTCCCTGGAAGAGGCTGTGTCCACATGCATCTCCTCTGTATTCCTCCTTCCCCACAACCTGTCACAGGCTGTGTTGTAGGGCAGATGGTCCCAGGAGCTGTCAATCCACTTACAGACAGAAGACACTTTTTCGATAAGCAAATTCCTAAGCCTTGATTTAGGAACAGGAATCAGGAAAGCTCTTTAAGTAGCTCTGGCTTTGCTCTGTTACAATCAGGCCTGGTGTCCACTGAGGGCCATGGCTCCTCTGTGCTCTGTGCTCAGAGCTGAGCAAGGACTTCCAGTAACGGAGGTGGGAGGAAATTTGGGGGTTTCTACCTCAATGTGGATTATTCCATGGGCTTCCAGACCCCCATCCCTGCCAGCTGCTCCCCACTGTGACTGTGAACTCATAGTCACAAGCAGCTTAGAACCCCCGGCTGTTGGATAGTGCAGGCTAGGTACACCACACAGGCGCAGCCCATGGTCAGAGCGGCCTTAGGTCAAGGGGGATTGTGGAAGATACACACCTGGGAAAGAGACTGGAGGACAGACTGATGCCTCGTTTCATTCTCCTTGTGAACCGACGGTGTAATAGAGAAAATGGAGTCTCCCTTCCCTCAGTCAGGTATGCCAAGGGAACACAGGAATCTGGCCAAGCTGCACAGAGTCTGATGTCAGGTTGGTAAGCTTGGGACCGGGCAGGGACGTGGCAGGAGAGCGATGGGGACCGGGCCCTGGCCCATCTCAGGGCTGTCTGGGTCATGGCCGGGGCTTGGCAGCCTGGAGCGCAGCTGCTAGGAATAAGGGTAGATTATTGGCTCGCACGTGGCGTGGACGGCAGGGGAGGGGTGGAGTGGTGTCGGGCTGGAGGTTCACTGGGCGTGGGGCGGGGCACGTACGCCGTGAGGTGAGGGGGCGTGGTGCTTCAGCACGTGGTGAGGCGGAGCAGAGGCGTGGGCCGGAGGCGGAGCCTGGCACGTGGCAGGGCGCGCAAGCGCAGTGCTCTCAAGGCAGGGCCTAGTCAGCGACGACGGCGGCGCCATGGAGAAGGTGAACTGGCGGTTGGTGGCCGCCGCGTTTGCGGGCGTTGCGCTGGCCCTGGAGGCACTGCCCTCGCTGGTGCGTTGGTTGCGGGCCGGGCGGCAGCCGCGGCACGAGGTGCTCTTCTTCCCGTCGCAGGTGACCTGCACCGAGGCCCTGCTGCAGGCCCCGGGCGCGGCGCCGGCCCGGTCCCCGGCCGACTGCCCGTGCAGCCTCCCGCACAGCGAGAGCTCGCTGAGCCGCCTGCTGCGGGCCCTGCTGTCGGCCCGCTCCAGCCTCGAGCTCTGCCTCTTCGCCTTCTCCAGCCCGCAGCTGGGCCGCGCCGTGCAGCTCTTGCACCAGCGCGGGGTGCGCGTGCGCGTCATCACCGACTGCGACTACATGGCCCTCAATGGCTCGCAGATCGGCCTGCTGCGCAAGGCGGGTAAGTGGAGGCTGGGTCAGGGCAGCCAGCCTGGCCCGGGGCCACCAGTAGTTCCTTGTGAGCGAGTGTGGGCAGCACGGTTGAACCCGGAGAAACTTGAGTCTGCCTCCCAGGCAGATCTGGCCAAGATGGCCGGACTCTGAGCAGGGTCTCCTGTCCCGCCCCAGCGTTCACATGGAGGCAGGTGGTGCCTCTTAAATTCCCACTTGTTCTTATGGCCTGGCAGTGGGCTTGTGAACTACCTGGGGACGCTTGTGCCTGGGTAGAAGTGAGGAAGCACCGGCCGGCAGTTTGGGAACTTGGCAGCCTCAGGTGATGATGGCTCAGGAAATAAGAGATTGAAGCTTAAAAGCAAGTCGTTGGTAGCTCCTGCCTGAGAGTTGGGATTCCAACTTTCCACCAGGAAAGTCCTCGAGACCCTACCTTTAGTTAATTAGCAGGAATCTGGACTGGAGGCATGGCTCAAGTGGTAATGTGCTAACTTAGCAAGCAAAGCAAGACTTTGAAGCCCTGAGTTCCAACCCCAGTTATGGGGCCCGAGGAGCAATTCTGGTGGATAGCTAGCAGAGACCTTAAGCCTTATTGCCACCCATTAGAAAGTGAGTTAAGCCAGGGTTTGGCTTCAGCTGGGGGAAAGGAGGAAGTTGTTCACAGATGCACTAGCGAATCTCATGCTGGGTTCTGAAAATGCATAATACTTATCAACTAAAAAGTGGACATGACTGTACATGGGGTGCAGACAGAAGGAAGCAGGCAGTATGAAACAACCCATGTCCTCAATCTGTGGATTCTCAATCCTTCTACCACATGGCACAGGCAGGCGTGTTCTGCAGTCTGCATGTTAGCACCGAATACGGCATAAAGCTTGGGTATCTCTATGGCCCAGGCACCTGCGGAAAACAGCACACTCATCTATCTGACCTGGTATTCTGGCATCCATAGTGGCTTTGATGCTGAGAGCCCTTGAGAGGTGTCTAGGCTGCAGTGTAGTCTGACTGCAGCATCTCACCAGCCTGGGATATCAAGTCCCCTCAGGGAGCAGGCTCCCTTAACCCTGGATGGCACTAGTCTTTGCCCTAAGCAGTGCATACTCTTGGGGTTTACATATTGGCGTTTTTGTTTCCCTCTTAGTGGCAGTTCCCAGAGTTCTGTCTGTAGATCATTTTGGTGGGATTGGGGAGATATGTGGGTGACCTCTGGCACAAACAACTTCATTTGATTAGCTTTTGGAGATTCACAAAAATCTCAGGTCTGGAAAGAATCAAACTCCCACTGAAGGCTGGATACTCTGCCAATGAGTCCTGCCTGCTACCTCTTGGATGACTTCTAGATTGTCCTTCAACTCAACAGGAACATTGTGTGCCTGTATCTGCTAGGGCTGTATCCAAGTGGTAGGTACACAAGTCCCTATGCATAAGCACACAAATCACAAAGATCTGAAAGATTCACAGGAGATGCTGGTGTGGAAGAAAGCATGGTGGCCAGGATACTACCCAGAGCCATTGTCTTAATTTGATTGAATGCAGTGGAACAAGAGGCTTTTTTGGGGGGAGGGTAGTGAGGAGGGGGGAACGGCAAGTGGAAATGTCCCAGTGATAAGCTGATGTTGAAGGATAGCAAGAGGTCCTCTGTGGCTGAAGTTGGGAGCAGCCAAAGGTGCTCAGAGGTCTATGGTGCCTGCATGTAGGACTTCTGTGAGGTCATTGAAAGATGCTCTGAAGTTATAGCTGACAAGATTCACTGGTGGCACTGGTTGCTCACACCAGTAATCCTAGTTATGCAGGAGGCTGAGATCTGAGGATCATGTTTTAAAGCCAGCCTGGGTAGGAAAGTTCATGGGACTCTTTTTTTTGGGGGGGGGCAGTCGTGGGGTCTGAACTCTGGACCTGGGCACTGTCTCTCAGCTCTTTAGTTCAAGGCGAGCGCTCTACCACTTGAGCCACAGCGCCACTTCTGGGTTTTTTTCTTTTTTCTTTTGTGGTGCTGAGGAATCGAACCTAGGGCCTCATGCATGCAAGGCAAGCGCTCTACCACTGAGCCACCTTCCCAGCCCTTCATGGGACTCTTATCTCCAATTAACTACTAGAAAACAAGAAGTAGTGTTGTGGCTTAAATGGTAGAGCACCAGCCTTGAGCAAAAGAGCTCAGGGATGGGGCTGGGAAGGTGGCTCAGTAGTAGAGTGCTTGCCTTGCATGCCTGAGGCCCTGGGTTCGACTCCTCAGCACCACATAAGCAAAAAGAAAAAAGCCGGAAGTGGCACTGTGGCTCAAGTGGTAGAGCGCTAACCTTGAGCTGAAGAGCTGAGGGACAGCGCCCAGGCCCAGAGTTCAGGCCCCACAACCGGACCCAAAAAAAAAAAAAAAAAGAGCTCAGGGACAGTGCCCAGATCCCGAGTTCAAGCCCTATGACCTGCCAAAAAAAAGTGGGAGGGAAAGGAAGTGTTAGATGGATCCCAAGGTAGGGCTTCAAGGATGACATCCACATATGTTAGTAATTGTCAGTGTACTTCTAGAAGCTACATGCAACACACACACCTTTCAGCCTTCTTCATTGTTCATCTGAAATCCAATCTCTCTCACTTGGAAATCCTGTGGTTCTAGTGGATGAGTCTGGCAGCCCTATTTCAAAGTTCCCGCTTTCAACTCTTATTTTTTTATTTTTTATGTGTCAGTCGTGGGGCCTGAACTCTGGGCCTGGCGCTGTCCTTCAGCTCTTCAGCTCAAGGGGAGCGCTCTACCACTTGAGCCACAGTGCCACTTCCAGCTTTTTCTGCTTATGTAGTACTGAGGAATCGAACCCAGGGCCTCATGCATGCAAGGCAAGCACTCTACCACTGAGCCACCTTCCCAATCCCTCGACTCTTCTGTAAGGTTGGTCTCATTCTATGAGTGGCAGCAATTACGAGCTTTGTTCCTGCCAGGGAATGGGAAAGCTGGGAACGAAAGCAAAGCAGCTGAGGGCTTTCATAGCAGTTTACTTAGCATTCTAAAGCCCTGGGTTCCATCTGCAGCACTGTAACAACCCTATATGCCTCCCCCCATCCTTGACATATGCATAAAATAAGAGGCAAAAGCCAGGGTCTAGGTTAGGGTGACAGGCTGCAATAGAGGGACAGTGAGGCATCTAGGAAGTTCTGGCTGCAATTCTTGTTCCCGTCCTATCTAGTCCTCTCTGTGTTCTTCAGCTTGTCCTTTCCAAGCCCAAACGAGAGTGGAAAAGTTAGGTAGATGCTGCCCAGTTTGGACACAAGGCGCAGCAGGGGGTGGTAGGGTGGTTATTCCTCAGAGGAAAGAGTGCACTGTTGCCCATGGCCCCTGCTCTCCATGTCCCTGTGGCCCTTCCATGCTCTGCCTTCTCCCTGGTTTCAGCAGATGACCAGCAAGCTTCCCTGGTGGCTAGCTGGAAACAGCAGCATTAATGGCCCTGTGGCCATGTGTGGCCGGTGTTGTAAGAAGCTGCCTTGCCCTGCAGGTATCCAGGTGCGGCACGACCAGGACTTGGGCTACATGCATCACAAATTCGCCATCGTGGACAAAAAGGTTCTCATCACTGGTTCCCTCAACTGGACCACACAAGCCATCCAGAACAACCGAGAGAATGTCCTGATCATGGAGGATGCGGAGTACGTGAGGCTGTTCCTGGAGGAATTTGAGCGCATCTGGGAAGAGTTTGATCCTACCAAGTATAGCTTTTTCCCCCAAAAAAAGCGAAGTTGCTAAAGCTATGTGTTCACCTGGGTTGGAGCTGAAGGGGGAAGGGGCTAGAGCCTGTGCTGCCCACTGCCTGGGCTAGCCACTCAGCTGTACTCCAAGCTCTCCAGGCTAGAAAATGGCTAGCCTGAAACTGGCTCCTTCAAGTACTCAACTGACTGAGAACTCAGGATTGAAAGGGAAGTTTCTGTTGACGGAGCAGTTGATTAGCACCAAGTCAGTCTCCCCCACAGCCCAGTATAGGTTGCTCAGAATTTGCTGGTCCTTATCCTGCAGTGGTCCCCAAAGTTTTGACAGGGGTTCTCCAGGGCCGAACACTCCCTGTCCCCCGAACTGTTTCACTTCTATTTTAGTCTCCCTCTGCCTCTTTGGACAGGCCTTTCCTGCTGAGGCTGGGACTCCTGTTGTTAGCTCCTGGCTGGTGGGGACAGGAAGCCAGGAAAGAGGAGCCTTCTCCCTAGGATGGGCGTTTCCTGGCACAAACGGGTGTGTGTGTGTGTTTGTGTGTGTGCGCGCGCGTGTGCTTGTGCGTATGCATGTGCATGTGCGGTGCGTGCATGAGTGCGTGCTCGCTTCACCCTCAGCCTAGTCCCTAGAATGCTGTGCAAGGGAGGCTGTAGGTAGTCAGAAGCTGGGTCCATTTCCACATTGTGCTTTTAATAGTTAACCCCATCACGTTCAAGGTAAATCTGTGTACTTAGAAGTGAGCTCACCCTTAACACCTATGGACACAGCTGTTTCCTGCTTATCAATGGGTCAGGAGATGCCCCCTTAGGGAGGAAGCATGGGAGTAGAGGCTGTGGGTTGTATGTTATATTCTCAGCTCAGGACTGGTGTTCCCAGGTCCCGAGCGGAAAAGTGTCTCACTTGTTTGTGAATGTTTCAACTTCCTTTTGTCAAGCACACATAAGGGCAGGTAGCACAGTTGGTATCTGAAGCTCAGTTTTGCCTTTGCTCATGTTGTGTGCGCTTGCGCTGTGTGGCCTTCTTGAGGCTGAGTGGATGCCGTCTCTCCCCAGCTCACAGCTCAGCACCACGTGCGTTTCTTTTTATGGTACTGGTGCATAAACTTGGGGTCTTGCGCATGGTTCCCTTTTTAATATTACCTTTGACTTAGTGTTAGGCAAGTAAACTGGAATTAAAAAAAAATAATCGATGGAAGCTGTAAAGTGTAATGTACCCAGAAGTGGTCACATGGGGTGTTCCTCTCAGTGTTATGTTTTGGAAGGAGGGCAGAGGACATCATAAGAGGATGACTTGTGGGTGGCTAGTACATCTGAATAAATGCTTTTCTGGAAAGTGAGTGTGCCTGTCCCTGCCGTCAACTGCTGTGTCCCAACCACTCTTATTTTGGCAGCACTAGGGCTTGAATTCAGAGCCTAGCATTTCTTGCAACAGGAGTTGTAAGACTTGGCTACACATTCAACGATTTAGACAGCAGCAGTCAAACAGCAACAAGACTGAGGTATTACCTGTGTACCTCCTGGATTGTTTTGTCAAAATGTCCCAGTTGCTTTGGGACTATTTTGGAAACTTAGGAGATAGGAAGTGTGATCCTAGCCCAGCGCCGGTGCCTCACGCCTGTAATCTTAGCTACTGTACTCAGGAGGCTGAGATCTGAGGATCACGGTTCAAAGCCAGCCCAGGCAGGAAAAGTCCATGAGACTCTTATCTCCAATAAACCACTCCGAAAACCAGAAGTGGTACTGTGGCTCAAGTGGTAGAGCGCTAGCCTTGAGCTGAAGAGCTCAGGGACAGCGTCCAGGCCCAGAGTTCACGCCCCATGACCAAAAACAAAATAACAAAAACGTGTGATCCTAGCCATTTCTTCCTGCTTACTTCCCTGACCTGGGATGTTGTGAATATGTGAGTGTCAAGAGAACCCCAGCCTCCGCCAGCTGTCCTGTCTCTTCCAGAGAGTAAGTTGGAGGAATGGGGCAGTGTGTTTCCACCAGGTGTCACATGCATCAAAAATAGCCTGGCTAAGCTACCGCTAGCAATGTTTTAAGACTTGTGAAGCTGTCAGATTTCCCCACCCTCCCTCCTCCTATATGTATGTCGGTCCTGAGGCTTGAACTCAGGGCTTGGGTACTGTCCCTGAGATTTTGTGCTTCAGGCTCAGAAGTAGTGCTCTACCACTTGATTTTTTAGTTTTTTGCCAGTCCTGGGGCTTGAACGTGGCCTGGGCACTCTCCCTGAGCTACTGCTCAAGGCTAGCACTCTACCACTAGAGTCACAGTGCCACTTCTGGCTGTTTCTGTTTGTGTGGTACTGTGGAATTGAACCCAAGGCTTCATGCATGCTAGACAAGCACTCTGCTACTAAGCTACATTCCCTGCCGCTTATATACTTGTTTTTTTTTGTGTGTGTGTGTGTGCCAGTCCTGGGGTTTGGACTCAGGGCCTAGACATATTCCTGAGCTGCTTTTGCTCAAGGCTAGCACTCTACCACTTTAGCCACAGCACCACTTTCTGCCTTTACTATTGTGGTTCTGAGGGATCAAACCCAGGGCTTCATGCATGCTAGGCAAGCACCCTACCAGTAGGCCACATTCCCAGCTGCTCTACCACTTGAGCCACATCTTCACTTCCAGCTTTTTGGTGGCAAATTGGATATAAGAGTCTCACAGAGGGCTGGGAAGGTGGCTCAGTGGTAGAGGGCTTGCCTTGCGTGCATGAGGCCCTGGGTTCGATTCCTCAGCACCACATAAACAGAAAAAGACGGAAGTGGTGCTGTAACTCAAGTGGTAGAGCACTAGCCTTGAGCTGAAGAGCTGAGGGACAGCACCTAGACCCAGAGTTCAGGCCCCACGACCGGCAAAAAAAAAAAAAAAAAAAGAGTCTCACAGAGTTTACCACCTGAACTGGTTTCAAACTACAGTCCTTGGACCTACGCCTCCTATGTAGCTAAGATCACAGGTATTAGCCACCAGCAGTTAACTTTTCATTCCTTTTGTTGTTGTTGGTTGTGAGGCTTGAACTCAGGGCCTGGGCACTGTCCCTGAGCCTCTTTGTGCTCAAGGCTAGCGCTCTACTACTTGAGCCATAGCACCACTTCCAATTTTTGGGTGGTTAATTGGAGATAAGAGTCTCATGGGGACTTTTCTGTTCAGACTGGCTTCAAACCATGAACCTCAGATCTCAGCCTCCTGAGTAGCTAGGATTATAGGCATGAGCCATTGATACCTGGCAAACTTCATTCCTTAAGTGTAGCTTTCCACTGTCTCAGCATTATTTAAGATAATTCCTCAGTGAATTGTATTGACACTCTTGTTGAAAATGAGCTGCCCATTAGTTTAAGGGCGTATTTCTGAACTCTGATTCTGTTCCCATTGATTTGTCCATCTAATGCCAGGACATACATTGCCTTGATTACTGAAGTTATTATGCTTTGAAACCTGGTAGCAAGTCCTGTTTTTTTCCCAATGTTGGTTTGTCTGTTTTGGGTGCCTTTCATCCCTGTGTGTCAGCATGCACACGACAGTCCTGGGGCTTGAACTAAGGGCCTGTGCACAGTCTCTAAACTTTTTTGCTCAAGGCTATTGCTTTACCACTTGAGCCTCAGCTCCCAGCTTTTTGGTGGTTAATTATACATAAGTCTCCCACTTTCTTGCCCTGGCACTGGCTTTGAACCATGATACTCTAACCTCAGCTTCCTGCGTACCTAGATTACAGGCATGAGCCACCAGCACTCAGCCTCCCCATGAGTTATCAGCTGATCAGTTTTTTAAAGGCATGTGGGATTTTGATAATGTGTTGGCTTATAGACCATGTTGGAGAGTACTACCACCTTTTCTTTCAATCTGTGGATGTGAGACAGCTTCCACCTATCTCCTTTAATTTCCTGTGTGCGGAGTGTGCAGATCCCATACTTACACACACTTATGTGTATATACGTTGTGTGTCTGTGTATATAAATGTGTATGTGTGTGTGTGTGTCTTGAGCTCTGGGCCTGGGAACTGTCCCTGAGCCTCTTTGTGCTCAAGGCAAGCATTCTACCATTGAGCTACAGTGCCACTCCCGCTCTTCTGGTTAACTGGAGACGTGTCTCACAGATTTTCCTGCCTAGCCTGGCTTTGAACCACAATCCTCAGATCTCTGCCTCCTGAGTAGCTAGGATTCAGCAGTGAACCACTGGCACCCAGCTTTTCCATACTTTAAAATTTTGCTTTATAAATGTAATTGCTTACCTTCAGTGTCTGATCCTGTGTCAAAATGCAACTGATTTTTGTACACTAATCTGATGTTCTGTAAGCCTGATATATTTCTTCTAACAAAAGATTATATTTCTTCTAACAAAAGATTAATGGATTCCTTAGAATTTCCTATGTCCATCCATGTCACTTGCATGTAGTTTTACTTCTTCTATGCAATGTTGAGTGAAGAGCAGATGTCCCTGTGAGACCCTGGCATAGGTGGCCCAGTGTGATAGCTGAGTTTTCATCTTAAGAGATTCGATTTGCAATTTTTTTTTTCTTTTTTTGGTCATGGAGCCTGAACTCTGGGCCTGGGCGCTGTCCCTCTGCTCTTCAGCTCAAGGTTAGCACTCTACCACTTGAGCCACAGCACCACTTCTGGTTTTCTGGTGGTTTATTGGAGATAAGAGTCTCATGGACTTTCCTATCTGGACTGACTCTGAACTATAATCCTCAGATCTCAACCTCCTAAGTAGCTAGGATTATAGGTGTGAGCCACTGGTGCCTGGCTTTTTTTTTTTTTTTTTTGGTGAACTTTTTACTCAAGACTAGCAGTCCACCCCTTTAACCATGGTGCTACTTCTGGCCTTTTCTGTTTATGTGGTACTGATGAATCGAACCTAGGCTTCATAAATACTAGGCAAGGACTCTGCCACTAAGCCCCCTTCCCAGCACTATTGATTTTTTTTTTTGTCGGTTGTGGGACATCATCTCTGGGCCTGGGTGCTGTCCCTGAGCACTTCAGCTCAAGGCTAGTGTTCTACCACTTGAGCCACAGCACCACTTCCAGCTTTTTCTGCTTATGTGGTGCTGAAGAATC